TTGGTGAGGAGTGCTCGCCCTTCACCGCCGGCGTCATGGAGCGTGTCACCATAGTGCTGAAGATTGGCGCCGGGGAAGTCGCGACCCAGCTGCCGCTATATCTCAACCGATTGGGAAGGTGCAAGCAGGACCTGCTCATCTTCTCGGACCGCAAGGACTCGCTCAACGGCTTCGAGATTGCCGACGCCCTCGCCCACCTGCGCCCGGAGTACAAGTTCAACAACCCCGACTTTGACGTATACGACCGCATCCAGGCCACGAATAGCACCCAGGACAAGACGGAGGAGGGGTGGCGGCTGGACAAGTACAAGTTCCTGCCCATGATGGAGTGGACGTCATACATGCGGCCCGAGTCGGAGTGGTATGTCTTCCTGGAACTCGACACCTACGTCAACTACGACAACCTCTACCGCTTCCTCTCCAACTTCAACCCCAAGACGGCCCACTATTTCGGATCCCCCGTTTGGCCCAAGAAGAAGACCACCTTTGCACATGGTGGGACTGGCTTCGTGCTATCGCGCGCGGCACTGGACAAGATAATGGCGCTTGGCAGGATGTTTGGCGAGAACAAGCACTTCCCCGGGACACACTTCTTCGGCGTCGACGTCAAGAAGCAATGCTGCGGAGACGAGATGCTAGCGCAGGTGCTGAAGAAGAGCGGAGTCTCCCTCCGCGGATACTGGCCCATGTTCAACGGCGAGAAGCCCTTCAGCATGCGCTTCGACAACGAGCAGTGGTGCGAAGCCATCATGACGATGCACCACCTCGGCGAAGACGACTTCACACGACTCTCCCAATGGGAACAAGCGCGATCGCATCCCGAACGGCCGCTCATGTTCGAAGAGCTCTTCACAATGATCGAGCCACACTTGCAGGAGAGGGCCGAAGACTGGTCCAACATGTCCGAAGACGTCACATACCGAAAAGGCAAGACAGCCTCCAAGTCCTTCGACAGATGCCAACGGGCTTGCGCGAAAGACGGCCGCTGTCTCCAGTTCGAACACGACGGCATCGAATGCCGCCTCGGATACTCCATCCGATTAGGCCACCACCAGAGCCGCGAAGGCGAGCGCTCATGGGTGTCTGGGTGGATGCTAGGCAGAATAAAAGCCTTCAAGCAGGCTCGCTCGCCTTGCCAGGGCGCACGTTTCGTTCATTCGAATCCTTGAGCGCGGCTGCGAGGACGGGATGGACGAAACGACGACATGATATATCTTTCCTGCACGATTTTACGGCATTGTACGGCGTTTGATACCCCAAAGGCGTTTTTGAGATGGCACGCTATTGTATATATTGTGCAGGTTGTCGGCATATACGCCATGGGTTGGAGAGGTCATGGGTGGGTTGGCGGAAACATGCCGCAATGCGACGCAGAGTAATGGAAGAAATTCTGCGCAGAGACCCTGCGGCGGCCACGATCGAGCCGGCGTATGAGGATCTCGAAGATCGATCTTTGGACGCAACACCGGCCGCGTACTGTGATGATTAGCGCATGACGCGCGATCTAGTCGTACCTTACACGAGATGGTTGGGACATTTCCACACATCTTCAACCTCAGTCTACGCTTCCGGTGCTTTCGAGGCCCAACGCTGCTCGCGAAACGCCAAGACAGAAATGATGGCTACAAGCTATTGAAATGAAGGGACGGACCAGTATGTAACTACTCAATGATCGTACTTAATACGACAATGATCGATATTTGCAGCGAGAAGAATTCTTTCGCGTCTCGTTAAAGGCTCGTCAATTGGTACTGATGATTCAGGATCATGAGGTGTGATCATGCTCAAACACCACGAGGGATTCGAGCAAGCTTCTCATTGTACTCACGAGGTATAGAAACCTTCTCCGCGCAGCCTTTTGGACGTTCACGATACGACTACTTCCCACTTCCACCATCTGAACATGGAGAAGACTAATACAACAAGCAACCAAGGCAAAGAAGTCAACTTCGAGAACTACTTTGTACAAAAGGTTCCAGGACTGTACATCGCCCTTGATTCCAGTAACGACAGTCATCAAACTTCCGTAGTCAGGCATGACAAGAATGACAACAACATGTACCCGGTATGGGACTCTACATGGAAACAGGCGCCAGAAACTCTTCCCATGCTGGAAGACCAGGCCGTTTTCACCACCGGCGGTCCCCACCATATCTTTGCTGTACCCACAAAGCTGGAGAACACGGTTTCCGTGCACTACAACCCACTCGAGGGCCAGCAGACCACTATTTACATACACCCCTCCGACAGTGTCGAGCAACGCATCCCTGGGTATATGAGGACGCTCGATGCGGCGGACGTCTCACCGGAGGATCTTGCGAAGCCGATTCCGCCATATGACCCTAAATCAGGCGGAGGGGCGGATGTGCACCAGAAGAAGCTCGGTACGACGGTGGGGCCTGCTTCAGAGTACGATGGAGGTGACGACCAGGATGAAGCACACCCAGGTGACGAGGAAAGTGAAGAGGAAGACGACGGCGACGCAGCGATGGCTTCCGCACCCGCTATCGCTGCGTCAGCGGGTGCAAACAACTGTGAGTATACTGAGATACATGCATGGCCTCACCCCCAGGTACTAACGATCCCCAGCACTCTTCCTCCATGCTCACGAGCACCGTACGAGCTACGCAACCCTCACCCTTGACGAGCACTTAAGGACGCTAACCATCAACCCCATAAAAGCCAGAACAAACCTTAAAGTCATCAATCTCAGAGGCGCGGACGGCCAAACACCCATCACCATCCAATGCTACCCCTTTCAAGAAGGCCGCACCCTCCGCTTTGTCGATTGCGGCTTCAAGACTATGATCGACAGAAAGGAAGTCTTGTACAAGGAGTGCCATGTTCATCTTCCGTCGGATAAGTGGCATGCGGGTTTCGAGCATGGGGTTTTGGGTGGTAGGGACAGGACGGCGTATGGTCCGCATGATTCACGGCATGCGGAACATAATGCTGGTGTTTTTGCACGGTTTATGGATGCGTTGGAGACGATTTTGGGAGTGGGAAATGTGGAGAGGTGTAAGAAGGTGGGTGATAAGATTGTGAAGGAAGACGCGGAGGAGGAAGACAGTGATGGAGACGTTGGATAGGTTGAGAAAGAGGGAGAAGATCTGCTAGAACAGTAGGTTTGAACATGCGGCCTTTGCAATTGTTTGTACTAATAAGACTATCGCAATCATGTCCAAGCTGAAAAGCAGGTTTGTGCAAGCTGTGCGCCGTACTCACGACATAAGAGGCTCGCCTTGTCGCCTAGTTCATGCTGGTCAGTTCGCCTCAACCAGGATTTACCCTATCAGTATGGAGAACCCCGAACAAAACACTATGGAGCACGAGAACGCCGAGCATCGAACCGCCGAGCACATTACCGCCGAACGTCAGACCACCGAATCGGATACCACTCAAGATGCCAAAACAAAGGGCCCAGAAGAAGGCGCCAAAGATGAGTACCGGCTATATGACAACATCGCCGGGCTCTACATCACGATGAACCCTGCAAACGTCCACGGCCGCACCACAGTGATCAGACATGCCGGTACCGAGGACTTCTTAGTGTGGGACTCTTCATGGGACCACACCCAGCCATTCGCCGAAATGACAGTGGAGGTAGCCCGCAACGCGGCTCATTCTGCCCTGGGCGTTGTAACCGATTACGAGAAGCTGAGTCAACCGATTACAGTCTATCATGCCCCGGTCAAGGGTATACCTAGCATTATGCGATCCGAGCCTAAAAGCGCGCGTCTTGAGTTTGTTCAAGAGTACGCGAAGGCACACGATCCGGCACGGGTGACTAAAGATGACTTCAAGGGGCCTATTCCGGCAGCTAGAATGGGCGATAACGTTAACCCGATAGTCACTGGCGACTCAGCGTCCGGCAGCACCGGTGTTGTAGCTTCAGGTTTGGATGACTGTAAGTACTCTATACCACATCAGCAAGTTGGCAAGACAAAGCTAACAATATATCAGCGTTATTCCTCTATGCTCATGAGCACAACGCAAACTGGGTCACTCTGATCCTCGACTTACAAGACCCGAGCGCACCAAAGATGCAGCTAGGCAAGAACAGACGCGTCGATCTTCTGCAGCAAGACGATACCGATGAGCCCTTTCATATCAAATACTACGCCTTCAAACATGGATATACCCTGCGTCTCAAAAACTGCGGCCATACTACACAGATCAGAGGCGGCCCTATAGAAGGGAAAATATTCAAAGGTAAGAGCACGAAGAGCAGCAGAGCAACAATCAAGTGGAAAGAGTTTCACCTGCATCTACCGTTTGATCGTTGGCACGCTCCGTGCAAGCACGACACGTGGGAAGGAAAGTACAATGGTAGGGCGCAGGGTATGCACAACAAAGACTATGCGAAACACAATGTGGTCATGTTTCCGAGGTTTATGGATAGGCTGGAGGAGATTATTGGGGAAGGACGTATATGGATGTACAAGCAGAGTGACGGAGAGCTTGATGACATAGATGCAGAAGATGAGGTAGAAGAAGAGGAAGGTGAGGATAGCGGTGAGGAGGATGATGGTGGGGAAGCTGCTTTGGAGGGTGGCGATGGAGGTAGTGAGTAGAGTACAGTAGACAACGAGAACACTTGCGATGCTACATGGAGGAAGGATGTGCGTTGATGGCGGCATTGGCGTCTGACAAGGTTCGCGTAATATTGCAGTAGGCCCTTGGGGCATACACTGGTCACGGCCAGGTCTTCATCGCCCAAGACGGCGCGAACGATGTCAGGCTAGGCCTTGGTGTTTGCGCATGCCATTCCTGAACACAAAACTGCATTGTAATCACGACAGATTGATGTGTTGTAAAACCAATCACGACAATAGAGTATGATGCTGCACTGCAGATTCGTGATAAGATTGAAAGGACTGGCGAGCAGTCTAGGAAGGAAATCACCATGCTATCTCACGCCTCGGGGAAGGTATTGGCACAGCTTCGTCCCCGCCACTGGTGACTCCAAATCTCAAATAACAGTAGTTGGCCTCTGTGACATGCGGTGAGTGCTTGCTGCGAGATCAAGCGCGACAGGCGCAAATGTCATTCTGGACGATATGAGTGTGCCATGCACAAACTTGTCGCATCCGCCAAGTTATAACACTGCAAGACGTCCAGCTACGACGGTCGCTCCATAGTCATATTGCAGCCGCCATGGACTACAGCTTCGAAAAAGACCCAAGCGTTCAAGTCACCTTCCAGAAACTCAAATCCGCATTCAAAGACTTCGAAGACCTCTTCTCCGGCCACGGCAAAGAGTACTTTGCCATCAAACGCAGAAAGGGGCTATACATACGCGCAGACGAAGGACGTTACCCACACCACTTCACGATCTTGCGTGAGTTCAGTGAACCGCCAAAAATCCAAGTTCTCTGGGACTCTGCATGGGAAGAAGAGAAGGTAGACCTCCACAGGATGGAGATTCAACCATGGCAGCTTGCGATCGAAGTTCATGGCCTTTTGATCTTTGGAAACGAGCTCAAAGAGGAACTGACGATCTTGATCAGACAGGGCGATGGTGAAGGTACAAGACTACGCGTTTCGCCTATGGAAGAGGGGGACAAGTATTGTAGGATTATGGACTATGTGAGAGACTCGAACAAGAAGCCCAACGACTTGCGGAAGAATAAGCGGGTTCTTCCCAGGGAATTTCTTGGATTGGGGGATGAGGACGATGCAGGTAAGTCGATTCTTATTGGGTTTTAACGAGAATGAACACTCACTATCATTAGAGGGCGAAGCGGAGTCGAAGAAGGAAGAGGACACATAATGGCAGGGCATTTGCGGTATCACTCAGGCGTCGACATCTCATTCGCACGGGTGATGACGACCACGAGCTCATGGTGTAGTTAGTATCGGGGGAGCTGTTAGTAGCTAGGTTGACTTCCATCGCATTTGTGCCATAGCTGCTGTGTCAAAGCAAATGTGAGTAGCTCATTGTACGTACCGAATGGAAGATGCCTAGTCTGCGCAAAACCGAGGTGTGTTGTACATGCCTGATGGAGCGTAAGACGGGACGACGGGTGACAAAACCGTATGGAGCGCATGGTTTGCTGATGTCGCGACGTTTGAAGACCGCCTGCTATGATCCAAGTGATCAATTACTGGGGTCAGCTTGACCTGACGCATGTGTGCTATCATCAAACTCACAACAAGGCCGACCATATAGAACGGCGCCTCAACCCAGGCTGTCACAGTTCTTCAACAGCTCAGTCAACTTAGACAATACGACAACAAGATGGCAGAAATGTACTATGTCCTTGATATCCCAGGAGTGTACCTCAGGACCGATTTCGCAGAGAGCCAGGTACGCATAGCAGTTTTGCAAGAGGACTCTGCAGACACCGGAGGAGCCCCCTTGTACGTGGTCTGGGACTCTCTATGGGAGTTTCCTGGTGTAGTCGATCATGAGACAGTGGACTTGTCGGGCACAGATGGCCTACGCGTACACAACCTCCTGGTCATCGAAGAGGAACTCTATGTGGGCGTAACGATCTTGAGTCAGCCACCGGGAAAAGAGGAACGCCGTTTGCATGTCTACCCTATGGGCGACTTTTACGGGAGGGTTCTCAACTATACCAAGGACAACGATGCCTTCCAAAATCCCAAGCTTCGATACAGGATGATACCTTGGCAACTATTCACGCCCATGGTAGAGGTTCCAGAGGAGGACGAGAAGGATGAGGAGGAGGCTGAAGAGGCTGAAGAGGTTGAAGAGGCTGAAGAGGCTGAAGGTAAGACAGCGCGAGTGCCTCGTTCTTTCATCGCTGACGAAGACGTAGCAGAGTCCAGTGAAGATGAAGACAACGAGATCGAGACCACACATGTATGCGTCCGTCGGCACGGCACAAAAACGTACTACCTCATCATCAAAGACGGCAAGCTCTTCCTCGTCCCCTTCGACCACGCGCCAGACTGGAATCGCATGCTGGAAGAGAAGCCAAAAGTCTCCGGTAAGCTGCTCAGGTTCGGCAACCAATGTAAGTCGTACCAGATCCCGTGTCTTCAAACGTCGCTAAAAGTTTCCAAAGCCAGCGTTGAGGTCTCCCAGTTTCCCAAGGGCTACGCCATCCACATGGTCAACTGTGGTCTCAAATCCAAGAAGAAGAAGGCGAATACTGCAGTCGGAGACCCGAAACGAGAGGCGGTGGATGACAATACTTTCTACCTCCTGCACCCAGCGACGAACACTCTTACCCACCGCGATTACAAAATGTTCACGAACAGGCAGGGTAACACGGTCGTAGAGGGGAAGAACTACCCACAGTGGCACACCGGCATTGCGCAGCACAATGCGAATGTGTTGGAGAAGTTCCTCGATGAGTTGAAGGCCCTGGTGACGAACGCTGCCGGCTCATGGACCGACAACAGGCATTGGTCGCGACATCGTAGGCATTGATCGCGACATCGTGGTGGTGCGGAGATCCAAAGGGGCCGGCGAGGTGGACATAAAATGGGCCTCGTGGGTGTTTTGGCATGTATCCAGTCATCCAATCTTGTCGAGAAATGCGCAGCCAAAACCACAATAAAAGCGTAAACGTGAATCGCGTCGCAAAGTGATGTGACAAGGAAGTCCAGAAGACAGGTCTTGTGCTTGAGCGGGGGGGGGCGGGGGGGGGGGGGGGGGGGGGGGGGGGGGGGGGGGGGGGGGGGGGGGGGGGGGGCTCCCCCCCCCCCCCTGACGAGCCCGCCCCACCGCCAAGCCCCGGCTCCATAAAATACCCGTCCTGTACCTCGGTGAAATTCCCCGAACACCAACATTTCACCATTACCCAATTCCGCATCTTTCCACCACAACCGCATCCTCTGACAATTGAATCACGCGGTTGCCGATCCGTTGAATGGAACTTCACGCCGAAGTTGCCTAGACAGGTAGGTATTGGGAAAACCGGGGGGCGAGGGTGTGAGTTACTGAGGAAGATGCTCCGTGGCCAATGAGCGGGAGGGATCGGTATGGAGGTATGGGATGGAGGGTACAGTCCGTAGGGGCTTGCGATGTGACATATGGGGTGTGGGTGTTGTTGGTGGCCGTGCTGTGACGGTAGATGAGGAGCTTGCCAATGGTTATGTTTGCATATAAACGTACTTTTGCGTGTATATGAGACTTGCAATGTGTTCAGATCATGGCCATGGCCGCATACATGTTCAGCGTAAAGACGTCACGTGGTGATGTCCCGCCCAGGTGCACGGTATCACGAGGGCACTTGCATTCCAAGGTTACCTACTTCACTCTGATGAAAACTATGCGCAATGCAAGACAAAGACAATACTCAGATGCGAAGATATGTATTCTACTATTACAACGATGGGAACTACATGCGATGCGAGAATATGTGATGCAGGGGTATTGTGTTGCCAAAAAACGCCAAATGGGACTGTGCTGGGCCGGAGCCGAATGATGTGATGCGAACGCCCAAACTACCGATGATATGCCGGGGGGTATCTTACTACAAGACTATCGAGAGAATGCGGAGAAGAAAAGGAAATATCGCTACACAACGAGCGATATTGCGCCACTGGTCTGTCTGTTGCCGGGTCTGCCGGGACCGCATTGGCCAGGTGCAGCAGCCATGCGTGGCTTGAGTGAGCTGCGAGATGCAAAATGCAATGCTCATGAATGAACACATCAACGACGCGACCGTCTCCGGCCACTCGACTCGCCACTCCGATTGCTTGGTCTAGCTGAAGCCTGCGAACTGCTTACGCAATCCCAATTGAAAGGTATCTGCGACGTCGGGATAGTAACACCTTCATACCTTCGCAGCCTCTCTCGTCGCGGAGGTGGGGAGGGTTGCGCGAATGCTTCTTGTCGGACCTCCTCAAGCGCCTGGTTGGTAGCGGCGAGTACAGCGAACCGTCTGTCAGGCACGCGACGAGCAGTTGTGTTTGGTGTACGAGAGCGCGCTTGGCGCGGAGAAGAAGCTGACTGCTCGTGCTGACGAGAACGGTGGTGGCGGTTTTGGGACCGTGATGATTCCGGGCTTGTCTGAGACGCAGTCGAGGAGCGATGCTGGCGGGATGAGCGGTTGCTTCGGGGTGAAGAATCCAGGGTCTGGTAACTGCGGTGTTCGCGCTTGGGTGTCTTTGGCGGGGAGGGTGCAAAGAGTGACCACCCCCGAGAAGGTTCTGGTCGGACATTCTTCTTCGATTTCGAATGTCTTACAGGGTCGCGCTTTGCTCCGCGCCCGCGCAGAGTGCTTTGCGACGTTTGCTTTGGGTGCTGCCGCCGACGGTGTTGACTTCGGTGGGGGCGTGGGTTCAGCAGAGCCTCTTGTGATGAGTTGACGCTACTTGGCTCAGCTGCACGGCGATACACCTGCGGCACTTCGACGTCCAGTGTCGAGCGGCGTCTCTCGCGAGTTCGGTATGCATCTTCGTACTGGTGTTGCGATCGCGGTCGGTGCTCCTCCCTCTCTCTTTCGTGGCGCGGTGACCGCGGAGATCGCGGGGTAGAGTCACCAGATCTTCTCCTTCTGCTCGAATCCTTTGAACTGCGCTTCTCGGAATATTCTGCAGCGACTGGCCTTCCCTCTCCATGAAGCGCGCTATCCGCCGGTCGGTCCCGCCTCTTCTTCTCGTCCGACGACGACGAGTCCTTACGCTTTTTGTTGCCTGGAAAGCCAAAGTTGAAGGACCAACACATTGCGATCAAGATGCAAGTCTCGGATCGCTATGCGCCTAAGGTTCAAGTCCAGTATCCAGGTTCTGAAGAGGTGATGACTGCATGCATGCAGATGCCGAAGTTCGGAAAGCTAAATTCGACGATGGGGGACGCGGGTGATACTTAAGACGCGCGACACAAGCCAATAGACAGGAACAATCTAGCGTTTCAAGGGAAGGAGACTTGAGAGAAGCGGATTGAGAATTATGATATCATGTGAAGACAAAGAGTGTTCCGGCCGGGCAAGGGAGCAAGTGCACCGCAGTCGCGGCGTGGAGGCCAAATTCCAATAGACGCATGGCCATAAGCTAAATCAAGAAAGGATTCAGTCAAAGTACCTTGTATCGAGGGTTTGCGCTCCAATCAGGGCACAGCCCACTTGATGGTGTGCGAGAAAGTGACTGATTCGTAAGTTTGCACACAGTGGCTTACTGGGCCACATGACACCTCGGGCTCCAGCTGATCGCCTCATTGTCTGGCGCACTGCAGATGTCGGTCTGCAGTGAAATGGAGTGTAGAACACTGGAACACCAGCGCAGGGCCGGCTGTCAGTCTTATAAGCTGCAGCGATCTGCCCGCGACGTTTATGCTTCTTTGTGTGCGGCTTCTGTGCGTACCTGCGTCGCTGCTACGTGGCACCTGTGCTGTACAGAAGAGCGGCGGGACGGTTGCGGGACGATCCTGGGTGCAGAGTTCGGCCATGCTGCGAGGGTGATGGGCATTGCTAGCTGCATGCTGGTGCATGATGGTGCAGGTTAGCTGCATGATGATGACCGCCTGACCAGCCGAGCGCTGCAACATGTAGGGTTCCTTATCCTTATCGGCCCATCAGCGACGTCATTGGTGCGAGAGCGCCCCACCGCCCCAAGCGAGCTGTGAATGCTGGCTGCGATGCCTCGCAAGGTTTCAGCCATTCCTCATCATCGCCTTCAAGGGTTGCACGGCCGCGGGAGTGTGCTGTTCCTGCTTTTGCACATCCTTAGCACAGACGGCGTTCGCGAGACACACGCTCCGCCTCGACGCCTTGCTGCAAGCAGTTCGCGCGCGTCGCGGAGTCTTGGTAGGTCCGAGATAGCTGGCCAATAGTCGCGCGCAGACGCCTTCTCCCAACCAAGTCATGGCGTTTCCAATGAATCGAGGAACCATTCGGAAGCAAGGCAGAGCAATCTATATTGCAATTGCCGCGACCGACACCATCAGAACGATATCGGCGGCGCCGGAGTATTGAGAGCAGCCTGGGTTAGAACATGTCGCATGCTATACGATGACTCATCCAATGAAGAGCTGGGCCTGAGCCGGAGCTGATCGACCCTCAAGAGGTGGGGATGCGGTAGAACCCGAGATCAAGTGCTCTGGACTCGTTCCGATGGCACCTGCACGAGTCCTGTCAGTTCGGTGTCGGGCTGTTGCATGGCGACTTGGCATGACCTCGCGTCAATGATATGTTGCGTCATACAGGAGAGAGACTGAAGAAATGATCTGAGAACATCGCGGATGGAATGCGACATGAGGAAAGAGCGCGAGGAGATGTCGGAAACATTCCGCTGTCCTGCCGAAGGCATCCACCCACGCTGTGCAATCACGCTAATTTCACTCGTGCCGCGCGCGCATCTTGCGGAAGCTTCATAAGCTACGGTGCACTGATGAGCGCAAAGAAGTCGAACTATCAGAAATATTATATGCAGGCGGAAAGAATGGATGGTCGAGACAGAAGCTGAAGCCCCAGGCAGTGCAATGGCTCAGCCCCAATGTTGTCGCGACTCATAAGCCCTGCCACGCCGCCTGCACGCTCCTCAACCTTCTTATTCTTGATCAATTCAGCTTGCTGCATTGAATCTGCCTCTTCAGCTAACAGCGAACATCCACATCAATGGATAGCTTACGAACGCAAGCGCGGGCGCGGTTTCTGTCAGAGCAGAAGTTCAAGTATGGTGCCGAATTACACGATGCTAGAATTTCGCTGTTAACCGTGGCGCAATATACGAAAGTCGAGACAACTGTCAAACTAACATATATTCATTGGTCCCAGACTTCTGGGATCTGTGACCAGATCAATACCACTATCCCCAAGAACGGCGACGCGACAGCAACAGCATCAATGCGGCTGATAAGCTTTGAGCGCGATTTTGACGGAGTCCTTTATATCGACCAGCGAACTTTCCTGGACATCTTTGACGACTTCGGGTATGATCCGTACTGGCTTAGCATGATACTGTCTTCGACGTACGGGTTCTTCTCTCGTATGAAGGAAGGTGGCACGCAGTATACTTACTACCTACATACCGTGTCGTATACGATGCTATGGACTTACGACTCTCATGAGATGACAACCAAAGCCGTGCTCATTCCCCGAGAACGTTCCCAATATCCTCAGCGGATCTTTAAGAGTGTGATAGACACCATCATCTACCACAAGGATCTTGTGAGCGACGCGCGGTTCTGTCCTCTCGTGTGTGCCATACAGATGGTCCGTTGGATCGAAGGCACTGCTTTCGAAAACTTGGCCCGCATTCGATCCATAGAGATTACCACTGGCCATGGCGCATGGCATGATGTGCAGCACGACTCTCCTCCAAGTACGGATGAGCTAATGAAGGACTCTAAGCGGCTAGGGTTCGTACTTACAGATCTCGCAAATATCTCCCGGCACGCTTGCATTGTGAGAGCAGTCCTCGACGACCTTGCATCAGCCCAGCCATTGTCATCTCGGCAATCGGCGCTTGCGCAATCCTCGAACACCACCAGTGTTCCAAGCCCCTTCGATGACATTGTCGATGCTGCATCAATGTTGGGAGGCCAGACGAAATCGGGCGAACTGCAGGCGGGCTACCTCCAAGAGCGAGGCCGCACACAACAGGCTGTAGTACGTTGACACCAAAGATCCAGGACGTCACACCACCAGCTGACCATGAACTTCAGATCTTCAATCTACTCACACGCGAAGATGCGAAGGTTAGCAAGGAAATTGCACTAGCAGCACGAAAAGATAGTTACTCGATGAAGACTATCGCGATCATGACCATGATCTTCCTGCCTCCTACCTTCTTCGCTACTCTTTTCGCTATGCCTTTACTCAAGTGGGACGGACCAAAGGTCATACATCCAAGCTTTGGCATCTATTGGGCTGCCTCCCTACCAACCACTGCGGCAGTACTTCTGATCTGGCATTGGATGTCATCAGAGGAGACCATCTTCGTTAAGGGATGGGCGTGGATTAAACCCGGAAGGCTCGAGAGCGACCAGGATGTTGACGTAGATAAGGCTCACAACGACTTGGAAGCGTTTCGCTGGAATGGACTGAGGTACAAATCGAAGCAATAGGGAGTGGGATACTCGCAGCATTTGTGTATCGACATCCATCAATGAGGAAGGTTCGTTCGGCTCTTCCGCATATCTCCGCGTCTTTATCTCCGGGTGGGGCACCCCGCTGTCGTCATCTCGCGACAACGACGGCAGGCGTGAAGCTCTCCATCATTAATCCTTACTCCGTACTACCGCACAACTCAGACAAAACGCCAAGATGCCTCTCATCGCGCAGAACCCCAAAGACCGAGTCATCCTCGGATTGATGACATTCGGTACGCTTCGCCGATCAACACCCCAACACCATGACTAATGCATCCCAGGTCCCGACGAGACCAGCGGCGCGCGCATCACAGAGTTTGACGAGTTCACCAAGCATCTCGACTACTTCCAGTCCCAGGGCTACGATGAGATCGATACAGCGCGCATGTACGTTGGCGGCAAGCAGGAGGCATGGACGCGCCAGGCGGGGTGGAAGGACCGCGGCTTTACTCTCGCCACCAAGGTGTATCCTTATGAGGCTGGTGTTCACAAGCCTGATAGGTTGAAGGAGCATTTCGAAACTAGTCTCAAAGAACTGGGAGCAGACTGCGTGGACATATTTTACCTCCACGCACCAGACCATTCCGTGCCATTCGAGGAGACACTCGGTGCTGTGAATGAGCTGCACAAGCAGGGAAAGTTCGTCAATCTGGGTCTCTCCAACTTCGCTGCGTGGGAAGTCGCAGAGGTGTACAACATCTGCAAGGAGCGGGGTTGGGTGAAGCCGACCATCTACCAGGCGATGTACAACGCAATCAGTGAGTATCTACCTTCTCATGCGGAGGGCATCGTCTAACCGTGCAAGCTCGCGCCATCGAACCCGAGCTCATCCCAGCGTGCCGCAAATACGGCATCGACATCGTCATCTACAACCCCCTAGCCGGCGGTCTCTTCTCCGGCAAGATCAAATCCAAAGACATCAAGCCCGACGAAGGCCGTTTCGGCACCAAAGCAGACCGCGTCGGAAGTATGTACCGCGACCGCTACTTCAAAGACGCCACGTTCCAGGCTCTGAAGATCGCTGAAGACGCTGCGCAGAAGCACAACCTGACGCTGCTCGAGATAGCGCTGCGATGGTGCGTTCACCACTCTGAACTGAAGACGCGTGTGAAGGGCGGAAACGATGGTGTGATTATTGGTGTGAGCAGCTTGAAGCAGTTGGAAGGTAACCTGGCGGATCTGGAGAAGGGACCGTTGCCTGATGATGTTGTCAAGGCGTTGGATGAGGCTTGGATGGCTGCTAAGGCTACGGCACCGACTTACTTCCGGTAAAGAGGTGGCATGTATAGCTTGATCTTATGCGCATCTCTCGATAGTCTTAGAATCGGAATTCAAATTTGAGGAGGGCTGTAGACCTCTGCAGGATCTCCGTTTACCTATTGTCAAACATTATTAATATGTTGCTCTGCAAGATGCAGGAGTCTTAAAAACTTAGGTTCAGGGCTCATGTGAAGCTGGAAGTGCTTGCGTCAACGCGTTACGACCTACGCTCCAATTCCCGAACTCTGTCCTTCACGCTACCGAACGTCTCATCACCACCTTGACCTTCCCCTGCTTCTACATCTGCCGCTCTCTCTTCTCCCTCGTTCGTCTCCTCCTCTTCATCATCTGGAACATCTGGATCTACGACATTTCTATTCGGATTCTTCCTTATAAATTCGCCCATTATATCTCTCGGATGTGGAATCTTCTGACCGAATCCACCATTGGATGGCTTCTCAGGAGGACCTTCAGACATTGCGCTAAAGCTTTGGATATGTTCTTGCTAAGTTCGGGGTAAGCTGGAAGTGTCGGTAGTGTGTGATCAGGGCGGTGGGGCAGGTCAATCGAGAGGCAAGAAAAGCGGTATTTATATGCCAGATCCAATAGCAGTTGTCGTTCGCTGACTGAGTGTCACTAGTGTAACTGACGGATTGAAACGGCTATGCAGGCCAAGATAGGCCGTTTGAACGTGTTACAACCAACAGTCTTATCATTGTCGCATCACGGCTCATACAAATCCATATTATCCTGCCCCCCCGACGCACCACCAGTACACGGCGTCTTAACAAACCCATCTTCACCTCCACCCTCGTTTGCCAGCTTCACGCTCTCCCCTTCCACGTCTTTGCCATCAACTCCCGTGGCGCCACCAACGTCCGGCTCTTTGACATATGGCGTATCATCAGTCTGCGTTCCCTTCGAGATGGTAGACTCAGAGGGATCTGGTGTATGAACAGACTTCTCTCCGTCAGACTTCTTGCGTGACTGCTCGTCCACGTACTGACCCCACAGGTTACGCCTTCTCTTGCGCTCGTTGACGTGTTCGGCAAAGCGTTCTATGTTGTCGGATTCTGATGCCGCAGGCTTAGCCTTGGGCTGTTCGGAAGGTTGGTCTCCGGCCATGTCGATGTTGCACGATGGTTGAATACGTGAGAGATGATGTTGGCATAACTACGAGGTTGCGCTGGACTTGAGCGAGCATATATACGTGGTGCTCATGCTACACCGACCCTAGGGAGGATGTCATGCAGGCGTTCATGTATCAAACGCATTCGATACCAACGTTGGCCTCTTCGCTCTGTCTATCTCCGCGCTCGCGTACATACCCCTCTTAGCCGTTTGCATCCCAAGTCTAACAAGACCAACCAGATGATGTACACCGGCCAGCACACCATCGATCACTTGCACATGACTTCCAACCGCCTCTTCAACAGCAGCTTTCATGTTCGTCATGCCAGCACACCCAAGCGTCAACACATCTGCACCATCAGCAACCAACCTCTTGCCTACGTCGCACATGGTACCAAGCACTTCCTCTTCAGGCTTCGATTCAAGTTCCAAAACCCCGAGATCACAACTTCTCACCCCAGCGCAGAACGACTCCAGACCGTAGTGTTTCACAGATTCCTCCAGCGTATACTGCGATCGTCGCGTTGTTGCGATGATGCCAAATCGTCCACCCAGCGTTCGTGCAGCGAACAGCGAGGCCTCCATAATACCAACAACCGGCTGTGAGAGTGCTTCACGAAGGACCTTTATGAGTGCGTGATCGCTGTAGCAAGCTATGAGGAAGGCGTCGTACTGATGTGCGACGGGTATGATAGCTCGGGCGGCGGCGGCTGCGGACATGATGTTGTCGAAGTTTGATTCTATAGCTGAGGGCGCTGGTTTTGGGGCTGTAAAGCCGTACACGGTGACGTCGGGTGGTAGTGTTGGTTTCAGCATTTCTAGACAGGCGTTTGTCATTGATTTGGTAGTGTTGGGGTTGCAGAGGAGGATGCGAATGTGCTTTGAAGATCTGGCGCCTGTGACGGAGGCCAGCGGCTTACGTTTACCATTGCTCGCTGTAGCCTTGGGTTCATGATGCGCGTATTCCGATTGTACTAGTCGCGGCGGTTCGACGACTCCCGTTTGCGAAGTCAAAATGCCATAATGCTCTGTTCGTCGATGCCTGGCAAAGTCAAACGTCCGCGTTTTTCCTGGTAGGCATCGATCAAGATCGCAATCGGCGACGATGATTTCATCCTCCTCCGTCTTGCTCTCAGCCATGATCTTCCCATCAGGCCCGATGATAGTCGAGCCTCCTACCAGATCGTACTTCCCATCGTCCAACCCGCATCTCGCTGCGCTGACGGAGAAGCATGCATTGGTGTATGAGTGGGCCTGCATGACTAGCTTGTGATGGAAGATGGCCTCAGCACGTGCCTCCGCTGGACTCACATCGGGGGACGCACCCCACATCTGAGGAGCGAAGCCAGGCGTGTTGAAGCCCACGAGAACAACTTCGACGCCTTGGAGACCCAAACACCTCCAAGCTTCTGCCCAACGTCGATCGTTGCATATCATCATGCCGAAGATGGGCTCGCCGTGTTCAGGTGTGGTCTCCACCAGGCCAGGTACTCGGAAGGCGTTGAACCCTAAATTACCCGGCTTGAAGTATCGCTTCTCAAGCTGGTTGACGGTATCGGGCTCGGGGAAAGGGTCAACATCTCCGGGTAAATGCACCTTTCGATACTTCGACAAAATAGATCCGGACTTGGCGTGATAATAGACGCAGGAGTTGTAGTGGTCGCCGTCATCTGTTGCCTCTGCGAATCCGATGCAAATGTCGACCTCCAACTCCTTAGCTCGTTCGAAGATAGGTCTTGTGTTTTCTGCTGTAGTCACATCGCCGTGCTCGAAGAACGACTCGAGTTCCGCTTCATTGGTGATGAGATAACGAGGCAAGAAGGTGGTAAAAGTACATTCTGGGAATAGTACAACATGTGCGCCTTGCTCAGCGGCTTGATTGAGAAGACGGACGAGTCGGTCTATGGTGTTTTCACGGATGTCAGTGCGATGGACTGCGCCAACCTGTGCAGCGGCTATGCGGAATGTGCGCGACATGCTGTTTCGACTGGCCTTGGAGGAGTACAGAAGCGTTCTGAGTGCGCACTGGCAACTCGAAAGGATAGTCGATCACACGTCTCGTCATTTCGAGGACCGCGAGTTGTTATGCGCGTCGATGAGCTTATCAAAGGTGGGATAGGGAGATAGTGATGAAGTTCTGGCGATAGAGGCGGCCAGTCGCGTGAAGCCAAGGCGGTCTTAGCGCCCCCCGCACTTCCCGAGGTCAAGCCTTCCCCGCTGCCGACCTTGCACTTCACTCCTTCTATGTATCCTATCAACTTCAATACAGGAGCTTGATGGCATAGCTTGCCTATCGATCATGCGCCCATGTAGATCTGCTATACTTTACTTACTCACTTGCTCCTTCTAATTCCGAATCTCACCAGAACAAGGCGGTGAAGCTATACTTAGCTTTCCTTCCGCATGCCGAACTGCGACGTCACGTGAGCGCCAGGTACCACCACATCATTAATGGAAAGCACAATGATTTCCGCAAGCGATCTAGCCATCGAACCGTCGCCCACGATCAACGCAATCCTTAGATGCGCATCCGGACCCGAGTTCGCAGGTACAACAATTAACATTAGTGATCGAGGTTAAGGCGTGCCTTGTGGGTTAAGCCCAGCCGTGACATCCAGCTTGGCATGCGACAAAGCCACACGACTCGCCCTGATCACAGCATTCCGGCCCCGATGCGTACAAGCCTTTGAAACGTCTGACTGTGCATGTCGACCACAGACTTGGCGGCTGATTCCTGTGGTACCTTTTTACGTCAATCGCAGGCTTAGCGTCATTATCACATAGCCGCGACCGCGAATAACTAAACAGAATCAGGCGTCCTATTGCACCACAGCGAAACAAACAAGGCTGACTACGATGTGACGTCAATCCAGCAGGGCGATGCAAAACCCTCGGTGCAACACGGTGGCTGGCCTTGGGATGTACAAGATCAACTCGACGCGCTCGTTCTACGTAATCATCACCACTCTCAATACCAAACAACCTCTACAAACACATTCCAAACATGGCATCAAGATCATCCCGACTCAGCAGCGCCCTCATCGCAGCATCCCTCCTAACCACCTCAGCTCGCGCCCAGAACAGCAGCATAACCTACTACCCCAACTCCGACAGCTGCCCCGACCTAAACCGTTTAGGCGACCACTACGAATACCCCGTAAACGGCAGCGGCACAGCAAGCGTCTCCGACCTGCGCATCTCCGTCACATTCGGCGAGTTCCGCGATCCAGACAGGTGGAGCAGGTCATTCGATGCCCAGCAAATGGTGTACCTCAGCGCTCCCCCCAACAGTCTCGACCAAACTTGCGTGTGGTTTTTTCACGGGGTTGATGGTGTTAGACAAGGCGACGACGAAAGCGGCTGCGATGGCGTACTACCGCAAGAATGCCTTGACTACCTGGAAAGCGAATTGACGCTCCCAGATGACGCGCTAGAGCAGATGACCAACGGCACCAGCGGACGCGCTTCGTTCGTATGCCCTCCACCGCACTTGAACGAGACAGAGATGAAAGAGATCTGTGGATCCGGTTTCTCGAGTAGCATGGGCATGATCGGTACGTCGGGTTTTTAGCTCCAAGTTCCCTTTATCTATGCGTTCGGTGTCTTTACTAACCCGCTTAATCTACAGGAGGCACCCTCAACACAACAAACATGACCTGCTCCGTCCCCCCAACCGGCGTCCAACTTCCAGAGGGCTACCACACCGCCCCGCTCGTCGGCTACGGTCCCGCCGGTGTAGGCAATTCGAGCTACGATCACGAGTTGGACAATTTCACCATGTACGACGAGTACATCACTCGTCCCCATCCTGTTGTTGTCGCATCTGTTGCGAACGGGAAGGCGAAGACAAGTGTTGTCTGCATCGCGCCCGACAATGTGCTTGAGGGGAGCCGTGTGCCTGCTGAGTCTGTCAATCAGCCTAGCGGTGATGGTGATGATGACGAGAGTGCTGCGGTGGGGATAGCATGGGGACGGAACATGGGTCTGGCTGTGCTGACGGCGGGGGTGGTGGGTATGTCTTTTGTGCTTGCGTAGAGGGATGTATGGAGAGCATGGCGAGTGGAAGTTAGTGTGTTATTAGAGATGATGGATACAATATACCCGCATATATCAAGACAGGTTTCACGAAGAGCTCAGTAGTTGGCAATCAGCATGTTTATTGACTCCAGATACTGTTCACGGATCATCGTGCTGGGCTTGAAACCATTTTTACACATCAACTACCTCGACAAAGTTCACCTCAGCATACTCCAATCCCTCAACACACTGCCAATCCCTCACCCATACCCAGGTCTGCCATATACACCATCTCCTTAACCTCCGCCTTCCTGCTATTATAGACCCCCCTATCAGCAGCAACCACAGCCATCACCGCCTCCTCCATGCGTCCCGCAACCCCCTCGTGGTCCCCAACCGCAAGATCCCGGGCATGCAGCCAACTCAAAAGTAGCTTGAAGTCGGCAAACGTATCCCTGGAGCGATCATCGAGGATATGTGGGTGCGATTTAGCCCACACAAAGAGCTCTACGTCTATACATGCTGACCTGTAGACATCGAGGTTCCTGGTCGTGGGCTTGGTGTGGAGACGGGCGAGGTCCATTAGTCTGTCTAGTTCGGTTTCGTTGGTGGGGTTGGAGAAGGTAAAGGTGTTGTAGGACCACGTGCGGATGCGGAGGAGCTGGGCTGCTATGTCTTCGCTTCGTATCTCGGCTTTGTTGCGCCATTGGCCTGTCTTCTCGCCCCACCTGTTTATCTTTTCACCCCGCCTGACCGTGTGCTCGCTCTGCTTTTCCGGTGTTGTCTCCTGCTTAGAGACGATGTCCTTCCTCAGGAACCTTCCAGCCCATTCACCTTCGGATACCGAGTTGTGGAGAGATGATAGGCCTGCATCCGCACCCGTTCTCATTGGCCTTGCTAGCTGGGCAGACTTTGTGCCTTCCCTCTGTCGTTCGCGGGGGTTGCGACGCAGGTTGTTTAGGTACCAGTAAGCTCGGCTGACGTCCTCAGGAGCATACCAGAAGTAAGGGGTATCGAAAGTGCCAGATCCACGGAATTGGGCGGGTGAGCTGCGGATCAACCAGACGATAGCCATCACAACTCGAAGGAGCACAGGCGGGGGGCCGGCACCGAGTCTAGATGTGGCACCGACGGTGATAGTATGGTGTTTGAAGTCTTCACGGTCGTCTACGTGCCATACCCATGGCTCCAAACTCTCAATGTATGCTGCAACAGTGGCAAGAGCCCCGCCGTCATTACAGATGATCCGCAAGACGTCGGTAAGGTCGATTCTGATGTGCGTGAGCGAGCTGAGGGTCTTGATGTATCCCCAGCGCTTAGGATCTGATTCTTCCCATGTGCGCATCTGTGCTGTATCTGAGAAGCAAAGGTAACCGCAGATTCTGCGTCGCCCGAAGTTTTCACCAAGGCACAGAATTTGCCAGCCAACTCTGTTACCTTGAGGGTCCCAGGAAGTCACCCTGCTAGCTTTTCCAAGCCTGACAGGGATAGTATCGAGTATAGGGTCGAAGTAGCGCGAAAGTAGAAAGAGGTAGCAGCGTGGGTCGCGGAGGCAGTGTTTGGAAATATACTCGTTTGCGCACTAACCCAATCGGGCGACTTCCTCTCTCACCCCGACGACGACCCCGATTAAACAACCGCGCAGCTCAACCCAAACCTTGCTTGCCCGATTTGAGTCCGAACCTTAATGGCTACATATCATGAGGCGTGGCTCGAGAGCCCAAGTCCAACTCCGCCATGTCATGGTAGAGTTCATCTTCATCTTGCTCCTGCTCGTCCACATTCTCAGTATACACCACGCTCGCATCCTCTTCCTCTTCCTCACCGTCCTCAATATACCCAACACCCGCATCCTCTTCCCCTTGTTCCTGGTATTGACCTTCCCCCGGCTCCTCCACATGCTCAACATGCACCACACCCGGCTCACCTCCCTCTTGCACCGCATTCTCATGCCCCTCGTCCCCCACCTGTCCTGCATTCACCGGCGATACACCATATTCCGCGGGATCCAACCATTTCCTAGTCCAATCCGCCTTTTTGCGCATCCACTCCGCATCTATAACAACGAAATGTAGGTCAATCTCCACATCAGACTGCCCATCGAGATGAGCCATTAGCCAAGGACCTATCTCATCAGGATCAGCGGTGCCAAAGTCTTCCAGTAACCGCGCAGATGCGTGGGCGGGAGAGTAGCCCCAGCTTTGATATAGCACCTCAGCTAGTTCCTTGAGAATCTGCTCTATTTCATCGAGCTTCGTGTAGATGGGTTGGAGGCGGGCTTGTATATCCCTCTTTTGACTTTCGAATTTTGCTGCAGACGTGCTGAGCTGGGACCGATACACCAGGTCTACGCTGTCACGAACGCTGTGACCGCCAAACATTATGAGTTGATCGAGTTGGTCGAGGTAGGATCGTTCATCCGTGATACCAGCTGCTTGCATGAGATTTCGTAGTCGGACGCGGATATTATCTCTAGAGCTCGTCAATAGAGCATAGGGGTCGTGACTGAACCCGAGCCTGAGCCTGTCTATGTTTATCCTGAGGCCTTGCATCTTTGCGCGCGTCGAAGCGGCATTGCGGTATACGACGTTCAACCCATTGATGGTTTCCTGATGCGTAAGAATCTCGCGGCATACAGCTCTGGCTCGGGCTAGGGGGTCGTATCGAACGAGTTCGGTCTTGCATAGCGGACATGATCGACGAGCGGCCGTGGCAGTGACGTCTCCGTCTATCCATGTGCAAATGCAGTCTTTGTGGAAGAAATGATTGCATTTCCAAATCTGTACGACGTTTCCAGAGGTAGTATGTTCGACCGTTGCTGCTGCAATCGCTGCAGCAAGAATTCTGTCTTGGGTCGTCATGCCGAAGACGTGTTCATCCGATGGCTGCTCTTCTCCTTGGTCTTGATGGGCGAAATCGAGCCGGCATATAGCGCAGTTTCCATCGGTGGGTGGGTCGTCCACAGGTACCAGTTCATTCTTCACAAAGTCCTCGTAGTTGCCGTGGAATCCCCGTGCCACGGGGGATGTCGTCATGAGGACGGCGTTGTTCGCTGGGGTTTGTGTGGGGTTGTCCATTTAAAATAATAGCCATGGGGTTTTTGTATAACGGAAGCAAGTTCAGAAATTTAAAAGTACTACATACCTGGGAGGTTTCCTTACCGCGGTACCCAAGGTCTGGGAGTATGTTTTGCTATGACATCGGGTGATTAGCGAGCCACTCACGAACCCGCAGCGCAACATATCGCATCTCATCCACGATGGTAGTCCCGAATAAGACGTCGCAAAGGTCAGAGATTGGCTCTGGTGACTGTACCATTCAGTCGAAAGACAGTGCACGCGCCACTAATTCTGGATGTTGGTTTCCAACTCTCGTATTTCCGTTGGACGAGGGGCATAATTACTGAGTGTCTGTTGAGAGGCAACCGATGTGTTCCGCGGTAGCGAGGAGCTGTACCACGAGTGCGAGTCTGGGGTTAGCAAGATCCGCTCCACGAGGCATGCGAGAACGATTCGAGAACTCTGCGAACGCTTTCTGGTACCCAGCAAGATCATCAAAGACTGTGATACATCATCGTCCTTTGGAATGATACCCCATCCTGCGTTGTACTCTTAGCTGGTCAATCTCACTTAACAGCCCTCCCGCCAGCAGTAGCTATGCATCGCCGTCGCGAAACGTTCGTTGACTTTGCTTCTGCGCTGCACCATCCGGAAGAAATGCGGGCTCATTGCGATAACATATCGCGACGTGTGACTTCGTCGATCATGGAGGCTGAAGATGTAGGAGGTTGACACGTCGTCCAACCGCGACGATCCTGCCTTGTTTTTCAGCCAATGCCCAGCCCCAGCCGTGTCTGGGCAGTCGCGAATCGCGTCACCGCTTTCTCCGCAAAACCTCGTACCTCAGCTCCTCAGCTCCTCCATCCCAACTGCTCTGCGCAGGAAGAAACATCAATCGCATCTCGCATCATCGACGCGAGACTGCCTGAGCTACTCAACAAACCTCAGGTCCATCACGTTACCGTGGGGAGCCAATCGAGAGCTGCACAGAGCTCCAGGGCCCTCGGCCAACCACAGCCCTCCTCACTCCCGAATACCCGGAATCCTCCCACCAGGTACCGTCAGCATGTCGTCCGCCCGCCACGGCCACGACAACTCGCACAACGTCTCGCGCGTCCTGTCCGACCACTTCAACAGCCGTTCAAACAATGATACCGAGTCTACACCTCTGCTGCACAACATCATCCCCTCGCACATCCATCCCGATGGCGAAAGCGGGCGCAAAGGGTTCCACCCATCGCACTTCATCAACGTAGCATGGCGCTCTGGTAGCAATGCCGCAAAATACACAAACCTCCTTTGGCCGTTCGTCATTGTAGCTATCGTGCTGCATTTTGCCGCGCCGGGCATGCCGATTGCTATCTTTGCGACTAGCTACATCGCCATGGTGCCGGTGGCCAATCTTCTGGGTTTCGCGGGTCAGGAGTTTGCGAGGAAGATGCCGAAGGTGTCTGGAATCTTGATCGAGACCGCATTTGGTTCGATTGTAGAGATCATCCTGTTCATCATCTTGATTGCCAAGCACCATTCTCAGGATGGGTCGAGTGAACATGGAAACCTCATTCCGGTCATTCAGGCTGCGATTTTGGGGTCGATTATCACCAACTTGCTTCTTTGCCTTGGACTGTAAGTACTATGGGATCTTCACGTGTATACAAATACTGATTACGTCTCTAGCTGTTTCTTCGTAGGCGGCCTCCGCCAAATGTCGCAAAAATTCCACGCCTCTATCAGCGAAGTAGGCTCCGGCCTCCTCCTCGTAGCCGGTTTCGGTCTACTCATCCCCTCAGCCTACTACTCCGCGCTCAAAGGCTCCGCCGTCGCAAAAGCGTCCAAGCACCACGAGTTCACCGAGAAGATCCTGCAGCACAACGTCCTCAGAATCAGTCAGGTGACGTCGATCCTCCTCATCATCGCTTTCTGCATCTTCATCTGGTACAACGCGCGCTCCCAGCACTCGCTTTTCGATGAAGTTCTCGAGGCGGACGAGCACGCTGATCTCGACCACCATGAAGATCTTGCGAAGCCCAAGTTTACGTTTACGGAGTGCGTCGTCGCGCTCATCCTTTCCCTGGCTATCGTAACTCTCCTCGCCGTCTTCCTCGTCGAGCGCATCGAAGATGTAGTCGAGAATGGCGTGCCAGACCAGTTCCTCGGTCTCATCATGCTGCCGCTCGTTGAAAAAGCCGCCGAGCACCTCACCGCCATCGACGAAGCATGGGACGGCCAGATCAACTTCGCGCTCTTCCACTGCATTGGCCCAAGTATCCAGACCGCACTCTTCAACGCCCCGCTTGTGGTTCTCGTCGGATGGGCAATGGGCAAGGATATGGATCTCAACTTTGAGATCTTCATGATTGTGCTGTTGGTGTTGGCTATTGTGGTTGTGGGCAATTTCCTGAGAGATGGAGAGTCGAACTATCTGGAGGGGGCTATGCTTATCGTAAGTCTATCCTTGTCTGATGACTGGTGATTGGACGCTTTTGCTAATAATTCGAAACAGATCGTCTACGTCATCGTAGCTGTAGCAGCGTGGTACTATCCCAACCCCGATGTCGCTACTTCGAACGGTGCGGAGTAACGGGAGACGTTAGGAGAAGAATTGGAGGGGCGCGGACTGCGGCAGTTGGTACGGCGGACCGGTGGTCGATTCATACTGAGATATTTTGGATCACCGGGGTTTGCAAGGTAGCTGGGGTTACTTTTTCTTGCTAGAAACTATTATGTAACCAAAAAGTGGCTTTGAAGAAAGTCATTTATTGGTTCCATAACAGTTTCTAATAGGAAAAAGTAACCCCAGCTGCTTTGTGAGCGATCCCTTGGTCAATTACCGCGGCGTTGGGGCGTGGATGGGATGCAAGGAGGAGCACGCGATTATGGATTGCGATATGATCACTGTATGATACACGACACGATACTGAACAACAAGTTACCATACAACATTACTTCATTCGCATGAATCTATCCTTTCCAAACAGAATTTACATACTCCTTCACCTTCCACCTCACACCTAGTACCCACAATCCGCTCCCGCCAACTTAACAAGCTTAGGGAAATTCGGAGTACCGAACCCAGTAACCGGGTCCCAACCTTCAGTAACAGGGAAACCTTCAACGTTGCAACCCCTGCTGAATCCCTTGGTGATATCAGTCAAGCCCTTGTACCCCTTCTTATACAACCACGGGTTCATGAAACCCAGTGCAGGCTTTCCGGCCGCCAACAACGCGTCGTTGACGAGTGCAAAGATACCACCAGTCAGCGGGCACGAGGCTGAAGTACCAGAGATAGTACCCTCAGTCCCGTTCCAGAAATACGCGAAATACAGACCCTGGGCCGCGAGATCAGGGTAGCCGCGCCCGGTCTTGTTGTACAAACCCTCATACGTATCGCCGAGCGACTTTACGTACTTAGGAACAACCTTATCCTGATACCAAGGCCTTGCGAAGTAGTTGCTAAACCCACTGCCACTGCTGTACAAATCGCGGAACCCAGCCGTCGTATTGCGGCTCGGGCGGTAAGCAGATTCCTCAGGCTCGAAGTTCATGGTTGCACCAACAGTCGTGACATACGGGCAAGACGCAGGGAACGCGGGCTGGAACTGGTACGTGTTCTTGCCGTCGTTGGTGTAGCAGGTATCCGTGCCGCCGAGACCGCGGTCGCCAGACGAGAAAAAGAGGGTAGTGCCGCGAGCGCCCACTTGGGCGAATTGCCGGCATACGCGCTCGGCGTAGCTTTTGGGGATGGTTTGCTCGGGCTCGCCGTACGAGGTCGAGATGATGCGCGGGATGGAGCGTTGGGTTAGGAGCCAATTTACCCAGGCGAGGTAGGGTTCGTTGGTGTTTGTGGGGGTGGAGATGTCGGGGACGAAGGGGGGTTGGCCGCCGGTCGAGTAGGAGGTTATGGGTGTTTTCCAGCTTATGCCTGAAATGGCTTGGACGTCTAGGTTGGCTTCGCGGCTGATGCCTTCGACGGTGGATTGGTTGTAGGTCAGGGGACCGTCTTGGACTGGGCCGGCGTCGATGGAGATTTGCTTGAAGGCGTAGGCTTGCGAGACGGCTTCTGGGCGGTACTTCTCGAGGAACATTTTGGTGTCTGGTCGGATGGGGATTTCGCCGAGGTAGTTTGTGAAGCCGATGCTGTTCTTGCGGCTGGCTTTGGTGTGGTACCACTTGGTCTTGTAGAGGGTTTGGAAGCATTCTGGGGTGACGGATGTTACGTTGCATACGGCAGAGATGGACGTGTTCTGGGGTGTGTGGTAGCTCTTGGGGACCTCGACGGCCTCGTCGACGAATGTCGCGGCGTGGGCTGCGCCGCGGAAGAAGGATGTCGTGGGCTGGACGGTGTCGATGTGAGCGTGTAGGTGGCGCGGGAGAGACCAGGCTGTAGTACGCGCAACGACGGAGCCATCCTTGTGCTTGTAGTTGTGGTATTCGGTGTCGAGCAGACTCTCGACCATTTCAATGGGAAGATGGACGATGACCCAGTCCTTGGCTGAGCTGTAGCCGAGGTTGCTGGTGTCGATTCCGCTCTCGGCGAGCCACTCGTGCACCAAGTCGTGGGTTGCAGAGCTGGGTGCAACGAGTTCATCGACCTCGTCGGCACTCAGATGCTGACCGTAGCGGGCATGGTCAGGGTCAGAGACTACACGTCATTAGCTCAGATGCCGCCGCATACCTCTGAATAAAAAAAAACATACCCTCATGAAGATGGCGATCAAGCTCCTCAAACCTCCCCTGCTTAAGACCAATCTGCAGCTGAATCGTCTTCCCGCCATGCGACCTCTCAAGCTTCGTCCACTCCCTCGGCGCATAATGCGTCTCCTTAACCACATACGGCGAGCGAGCCTGAATCGGCGAAGCCAGCGCATCCCGCGCGGCAACAGCAGCCAACACAACAGTGGCGAAGATCTGCATCGTAGGTAGCGATTGTATAAGCGTCTCAAAAACAGATGCAGACAACAACGCGCACGCCCAGTCCCACCAAGCAGCCTTGCCAGCTATTTAAGCTCCTGCGAAGCTCCGCCCAGACTCGCGTCATACAGCTTCATGGTACCTTGGCGACCCTAGGGCAGGGCGCCCCATCTGGAAGGACGATAGTAAAGCGCATAGTACATGCATGTCGATCGCCGTATCGTCGGAACAGCCTTGACTGGATTGCTATCGCCTGCGGTACGAGCAAGGCTAGACAATCTCTTCATCGCGACAAGCTCAGCGTTGCCAAGCTGGCGAAAACAACAGTCGGCCTGTCCATCGCGCGTCGTGATTCGTGCGTGGTGTGTGATAACGCAAATAGCGATGTTCACAAAGGCGGGGTGTGAAGTTGGCATGATAGCAAGGGCATATGACGGGAACGCTCTAGCCTGCGGAAACGGCCGCGCTAACGCTGGATTAGGCAGCTACAAAACTTCGACATCATCGTGCGCCGCGATAAACAAGCAAAGTCAAGCCACTAGCTGTTGGCTCCGACGGCGTGTTAGCTGCTCTTGGGCGTGCTTGACTTGCTCTTGGAAGGTGAGGGAGTGGATACGCGTTCCGGACCTCGAGAGAGTGCAGCTTGTACCCCGCCGCCAACCCGGTTGACGGCATGCTGATGGACCCAGCGACGTCTTTGCGAGTCTCTTGTTCGGGCGATGGACAATATGGTGCTCGCGCTTATCTGTGACTTGATATGCGCGCGCTCGTGAAATATCTGGGCAGCGCGGCAGTGTGGACGGAATGAGTGCATCTCGTTGCATCTGCAGGAGATCTAAAGCTTACCTAGGTACCTAAAGACGCCCACGTCACCACCTAATGGGTCGTACGGCATCGCATCTCCTTATCTCTTTAATCTTAAGGCAGGAGGTATCACCGTGTTCGTGAGGGAGAATATTTAAACACCTCGACGCCTACATCGACGCTACGCCTTCAACTTTGCTTGCAAGGTTACCATCATCCTAACGTACCTAGGTAGGCTGCAAGACTCTACGAGATAGTCTAAGACCAACGAGACCTTCCATGGAATGAAATCGACAGACTATATGTCGCGTTCACACGGAGACTGTACCCCGATAATAAACATTGACTAATTGTTGTCGTGATCATTTCTGCGTTGTGGAATCGCGATGTCAATCGCAAACCCCCAGACTCTCTTTAAAGCACACATCTGCTCTCTTGAACGTGTATCGCATACCTCTTCTCGGCTTTTTTCCCACGAGTAAACACTTATCTAAGCTCATACACTGAAGCAACACGCTACATATCTAGTAAAGCTTGAAGAACATGTCGACCTCAACGCCTGTCCAGGATGGGAAAGCGAAGATGGAGTCGCGCGAAGCAGGGAAGGCGCCGCCTAAGAAACGGGAGAACGATGGGAAAGACAATCAAAAAAGCGGAAGCGTTGAGAATGACGTTCACAAGGAAGAAAGGAAAGAGAATGATGGGGATAAGGATAAGGGCGACACTCATCTGGAGACATGGGCGGAGTTTCTGAAGGGATCGGAGACGTGATTGCGCAAGGGCGCAACTAGTAGCCATGAGCGAAGTATCGCAGTACCGCCAATTCCGTTCCTTGGGTTAGTTTGCGAAAAACTAGCTATGGATATACATCACACGACCAGTTCTTGTTTGACATACCTAGGCAGAGCAAGCTCAGCGACGTTTAGCATTTAGCATTTACTATGAATTCAACTGCTTTCCCTTCTTCTACGCGAGATCACATCACCCAAGAGTGCCAGGCTAATAAGAACCAGCCACTGCTTCGCTATGTCATCCTGGATAAAGTCATCGAAAACGACTCCTCAGGCCGATCTAGATGCCGCAGCTCAAGAACTCTACCTCCCCACCAGAATCCGCGGTTTGTACACTTCCCGTCCCATAAAATCCCTCCCCGTCCACATAAAAATCGCGATACGCCAACCTGGAGCGAACAATCTTCAGGTCGAGTGGTCATCGTCCTGGGACGAAACAAGAAAGGCTTGTGACGATGGTGTCACCATGCCAACCTTGAAGAATGCCGCTGATACAACCGTCAACATCCATGGCAAGCCCGGTGCACGTGTTCCTGGCATCTTCATCGCGAGTGAAGAGGTGGAGAAGCCACTGGTGGTCGTTTGGGCGCTGGAGGGAGGGACGAGGACGATTATACAAATTCAGCCCGTGGGTAAAGAGGGCAATCAGGAGAGGAGTGAGGCGGAGCAAGATGGATATGTGATGGTTCCGATGTTTTGAGAGGTTGGTAGTTGCCGTTGTATTCTTGCAGTAGGGGATGTTGTAGTTGGGTTCACTGCGCACTTACCTTTTGCCATCTCCCACGGAAGTCGCTCATCAACATGTTCTCCGACCTACCCTTCTCCCAAAGACAAACTAGTTGTTATCTTCTTGATCAATCTCTCAAATAGTCTGCGGACGTCAGATTATTCTCGCAGTTATCCGATAGATAGCCCGTCGTTTAACGCAGTGCAAACCCAGCGACCACTTACCACTCATCAGAACAACGCCCCTTCCATCTTTCCTAGTCATCAAAGTCAGCTTCCAACCTTGGAAATCCCGCCACCCAAACATACCATCCATCACTTCCCACCAACTTATCCACTTATCCACTCA